AAATTCAATGCTATTTTCCACCTGCTGCATGATGGTCTTCCACGGTATAATCCTCAACAATGGGTGCACCAAGCACCCAATACGAATGCAAATAGGTGAAGCAAGGCTGTTACCATCACACTCATGCTCTTTACTGTGAAGCTTCCACTAGAGTGGAATTTCTTTATTGGGTGAGTTGGATACTATTTAACCTCATAGTATTTCCAGTCCAGATCATACCCAGTTTGTGTTACTGAGCTGCAGTATGCCATTTAATCAAAACTGCCACTTATCCAAGAGTTCCACATGCTCGACCAATCAGAAAGTTCCTTGTGATCTCATGATTGGACGTTTGAGGTCTCAAGAGAGGACACAAGCTGAAAATGAAACAGACCTGATAGAAATTCTGGATCCTGCAGTGTGCTGGTTGGTAGAGTGCCAGATAACAGAAATGTTACTCTCCTACCCTCAAGCAGGACACAATTTGAAAACCCATACAGTCTCCACCACTTAATATGACAGAAAGGGTCAATTCGGTTGAATAAGCTGTATTGTCTTTTTTAAGTTCTATGTAATTTAATAACCCACTTAGCACTATGAGTAAAATAGACAGAAGTCACCAGTAATAGGTCCAACAGCTACAGATGTTTTGTGTATAATCTGCCTGTTGAAAGAAATGGACCCATGAAAGGAAAGCATCAGGTACACAAACAAAAAAAAACACATCTCAGTGATTATTCTTCTAACTCTAGGCTTAAAGTGAACCGTTCAGAAAAATAAACAATTTGCCTCTTCAGTAGGGCTGCTTGATTTCCAAGCTCCTGAACTGCTGCTCCATTTGTAAGTGGCTTTCAAAATTTAGCATACAACCATTGTTTTGTACGTTTGATTGATTTCGCCTCCAATATGAGTCATGCTGACACCTTCCATAAACTTGCATTTACTTTAGCTTGGTAACCTTCAATGCACCATTACATTCAAGGGAAAATCAGGACAGGCAACAAATGCTCATTTTGCTCGTGATATTAACTTAGCATCAATGAATAGACAAAAAAATTATCTTTGTGGGTTGAGTAATAAAATGGTTACTGAGTTTTGGAGAAAGAAACTACTGTATGGCCGTGAAAACATTGTCGATTGTCAGAAAAAAAAAATCTGGTTCACTAATGTTCTTCAGGGTAGAAAGTCCGCCACCTTCACCTGGTCTGGCTTACGACTTCAAACTCACAGCAATGTGGCTGACTCTGAACTACCCTCTGAAATGGCCTAGCAAGCCACTCTGTTGTGTCAATGGCTGTGAAATTTCAACAAAGAAAGGAAACTGGATGGATCACCTTACATTGACAGCCCTGTCGACTCTGCAGAGTTCTCCTTTCTAACATCTGGAGGCTTGTACCTAAATTGGGAGAGCTGTTGTGGTTGTTGGAAGTCAGTCATCTCAGTTCCAGGGCATCTCTGCAGGAGTTCCTCAGGGTCATGTCCTAGGCCCAACCATCTTCAGCTCCTCCAACATTAACCTGCCCTCCATCATAGAGTCAGAAATGGGGATGTTCACTGTTGATTGCACAATGACAGCAGAATTTGCGACTCCTTACATATTAAATCAGCCCATGAACGTGGCTTGGGCTGACAAGTGGCAATTAACTTTAGCACCACAAAAATACCAGGCAATGATTATCTTCAATAAGAGACAATCTAATCACCACCCCTTGACATTTAAAGCTGTTACTGTCACTGATTCCCCCAAGAATCCTGGGTGTCACCATTGACCAGAAACTCAACTGGACTCAGCACATGAATATGGTGGCCACAACAGCCGGTCAGAGGCTAGGAATACTGTAGTGAATAACTCACCTCCTGACCCCCCAAAGCCTGTCCACCATCTACAAGGCACAAGTCAGGAGTGTGATGGACTACTCCCCACTTGCCTGGATGAATGTAGCCCCAACAACACTCAAGAAGCTTGACACCATCTCGGACTAAGCAGCCCGCTTGATTGGCACAACATCCACAAGCATCCACTCCCTCCACTGCCAAAGCTAAGTAGCAGCAGTGTGTACTATGTGTAGGATGCACTGCAGAAATTCAACAGAGATCCTCAGACAGCATCTTCCAAACCCACGACCACTTCCATCTAGAAGGACAAGGGCAGCAAATACATGGGAATACCATCGTCTAGAAGTTCCCCTCCAAGCCACTCGCCGTCCTGACTTGTAAATTTATCATTGTTCCTTCACTGTTGCTGGGTCAAAATGCTGGTATTCTCTCCCTAATGGCATTGTGGGGAAACCTGCTGCACAGGGACTGCAGCGATTCAAGAAGGCAATTTGCCAACACCACCTCAAGGCAACTAGAGATGGTCAATAAATGCTGGCCAGCCAGCAATGCCCACGGCCCACAAAAGAATAAAAAGTAATATAAGTAATTGACCATTGTGTGTGATTGCTATTAATGATCAAAGGAGAGTCACACACACCTGGTATTATGCTCCAGATGGCTAAGTTATTGAGTTAATAAAAGTGATTGTATTTGTGCCCTTTATTTAAAGTATTTTTTGCTATAGGAATTATTTTGCTATGACAATGGCTTAATTGAGGCAGTGCTCTATTCAAATGAACAGCCTTTGTCAGAGGACTAAACAACTTACAAAAACAAGTCTTCATTGTTTTGTACAGAGTGGTTCTGATTGTCCATTCACTACAAGTCATTCAGCTTTGCTCTCAATAATGCCTTCTTTAAAACTGCGAAATGTTTCACTCATCTCCACGATTTTCAGCCAGTATGCCCAGTACTGACAGACAAAGTTGTTACATTTAACTTTTTCAGAAACAGATGGATAATTCATCGTGGTATGTCTTATCTTGCTTTTACCCAAAGTGCAATGGTATAGCCTGGTGGGCTTGAATTCTAGAACGCTGTGATGGCTGGAAACGTTTGAACGTTGAGAACGGAGCTGAGTGGCAGTGAAGAGGAATAAAAAAAGACCCTGCTCTTTAAGCACTACTTGGGCATGAATTTCCACAGAGATTCTTGTTCTTTATCTCAGAAAATGGCAATTACAGCTCTTCAGCTGACATTATGTTGGGAGAGTCCATGAGGAAATCTTTAACTGTCTGAAATTGTACAGAGGTCAAACAGGAGAAATGTGCCAATAAGAATTAGAATTCCTACAGTGCAGAAACAGGCCCTTTGGCCCAACAAGTCCACACCAAACCTCAGAGCATCCCACCCAGATCCATCCCCCTATGACCCACCTAATATACACCCTCTACCTCCCTGAACACTATGGGCAATTTAGCATGGCCAATCTGCCTAACCTGCACATCTTCGGACTGTGGGAGGAAACCCACGCAGAACAAGGGGAGAATGTGCAAACTCCACACAGACAGTTGCCTGAGGCTGGAATTGAACCCAGGTCCCTAATGCTGTGAGGCAACAGTGCTAACCACTGTGCCACCGTGTCACCCTACAACTTTTGAGATGGGAAAGGGTTTGGTATCTTCAGTTCTTCAATCCATTTCTTAAATTTGAGGATTAACCCTCACCTCTCTCAATATGCGCCCAAGGTACATAGCTTGGGCAGAAGAACAGCACAAGAAAAGGTCACAATATCTGACTCTCATACAGTGCATTAAACTTCAGATTTCAGATTCTGTTGAAGCACAAATAGTAGGGTAAGGAATTTGTTGGTAGAAGTTTTAGAAGTTGAAATTAAAGCTAGTCCACTTATGTGGCACCTTCCTTGTCATTATGCAAGTTTATGTTTACTTCATTGAAGAAAATCTTGTGAATTTATAGTAAGTCATAAATATAGACTTTGTGAATGTTATTTATTTATTAGAAAATGACATTTATTTAATTCTCATGTAAATAACAGAATAATTAAACTCATTATTAAAGACATTTGGTTAGTTGGTGTATATTGTAGATTTCACTTAATTTTATAGTTGTGGGTTCTGCAGGAGTGTACCAGTATTTGCAGAGTTCCTCCATATGTAAGAATTAATAATTGTCAATCAGGATGAGGTAGGGAGGTGCCAGTAATTGTAGTTAATGAGATTATGTGTAAATCAGAGTGATTGAATATTCCAAAGGACAGAATCATTCTTAAACTGCAAGCTGGACTGGGAAAGAAGTTTGGGTAAATAGTAACTATGAGAATGAATGAGTGTTCTGGGTTCTTATAGAACCTTTGGAATTGGGTAGTATTTATTGCAGAAAATTCCCTCAGGAGATTCCAGTGTGCATGATATGTTAGATTGTTCAAGGTCTGAGGAACAAATAGGTTTCACAGAAACTGTGACTTCTCCTTGTGCTGTTCTTCTGCCCAAGCTATGTACCTTACACGTTTTTGGTAGTTTATGTCTTAATGTTCTTTTGATATATTTACTGAGGCAGGAGGATCGGAGAGATCAGCATAGTGCAGAATTAGTGAATGTATTAACTTCCAGTATTTTCAGATGGGAGTACAGTTTCCAGCCTCATTGCATACTATAACTGCAGCAGATGGCAATGGTGTGGGAGGGCACCAAGCAAGGTACTTGGAGCCTTTGAATGAACCCTCTCTGGACAAAAAGAAGTCATGTTGGGGGAAAGGAGGATTGATGTGGAGAAGGATCAGGCAGACCATGGATTTCCTCAACCAGATGTAAACCAGAGGTTTGATTATTTGCAAATATTGTGTAATCTATGTTTAACCTTAATGCCCATTCTTGTTTGTAATGACCGATGTCAGTGGAATACTAAATAAAAACCAAAAGAACTGCGGATGCCGGAAATCGGAAACAAAACCCAGAAATTACTGGAAAAGCTCAGCAGGTCTGGCAGCATCTGTGAAGAGAAATCAGAGTTAATGTTTTGAGTCTAGTGACCCTTCCTCAGAAGCTGAGATTATCCAGCAATTTCTGTTTTTGTTTCTGATGTCAGCAGTATCCTTTTGCTTCAAAATCTTTTGAGCCATCCATTCAAATCTCGTCATGTACAATATATAGATGAATTTTGCAGAAGATGTTAATCAACCTTTAGCAAAAGTAACTTGAGGTCTGTGCTAATCGCAGCCAACCAAGCTGAGCGATTAGCTTACCTGATAAAAAAAAACACGATTTCAACTGATGCAAAATTGTACCAGTGAGTAGTGATATTGTACATCATTTGTAAGTGAGATATTTAGTATGCATCTCATCATTTAACAAAAAGTCTTTTGAAGCATATTTTGTTTATTCTCCTCTTCTTGGTTGCCTCTTTGCAATACTCAGAAGCTGCACAAATTAATAAGAAGTATTCTTATTGAAAGGTATAGGGTCTTGAGTGGACTTGACAGGGGAGTGCTGAGAGGCTATTTCCCTTTGTAGAAGAAACTAGAATTTAAAAATCATGGCTTGGATTTTCTAATGGCCAGATAGTTGTCATTCCAGCATAGAGGTGGGCTGTGCTTGGGGAACCTGCAGAGTGCCCATTGGAGAGGACTCCAAAGAAAATACCTGGAAAATTGAAGATTCTCCAGGGCAATTCCTCTCCATCTGAGCCCTCTGAAATATCCATTTCAATGGACAATTCAGACAGTTCCAGTGAAATAAAGCAAGTAGTTACTCAGAAATAGTTAGACAATTAAGTATGTTGTCTAATTCCTAAGTAACTGTTAAACTGACCCCATACTTATCTCACACACCTCCAGCTATATCTCCCCCAGACTGCTTAAACCCCAAAGATCCTGACCTAACAACCCCGGAACCTCCCCCACCTTCAACAATTCACAACTGAACCTCCATGCTTTAGCTACCTCTAAAGTTTCCAGTTCTGCAGAAGTGTCCTAGGAATGCCCAGGAGCCATAACTAACCTGCAAGCAACATGGCACAAAAGAGTGAAATAGTGTTCTGCTTATGGAATTCCTTACTTATGGAATGTCTTGTTGTTATAGTGAGAGCTAACACTTCAGATGTGAATGTGCAAATGGTGGTCTGCAGCGTTGTTAAATCAACAAGAATCCACGCTAACTACAGGTTTAAGAAAGGAGGAAAGAAACCACAAACAAAGACACTAACCTACTGGGGACTCTATTGTTAGAAGGTAAATGCAATACCATTTCCAGAAACTGGGGAAATGCTACATTTTTAAGCCTCAGATGTGTGTGTCCATCTAGAGCTTGTAATTCTGGTACATTTAGATTGCTTGGTTTAAGTGGCTGCAAATTCAGACAAGCAACAGTGACAACTAGACCAGGC